ACTTACATAAGAGATGCAAGAGATATTCTTCACATCATTTAGGATTAATTAAATAATTTTATGTGCTTTAAGAAGACACAGAAACAGGCAAGACAGAGGGAGTCAGAGAGAAGCAAGATCAGGTTGCTATTAGGATTGCCATTGTCATGCTTGATCTCTTTTATCCCTTCCTCTATTTCCTGTTTTTTTCTTCTGTCTTCACTCATTGTTCTTTTTCATCAAAGAATTCCTGCTACTTGCAAATATTCAGATGAATCTGTGATCTCACTGATGTGAGCCAACCAAGCAGATTGCAACCTAACCAAGCCTACTTGGCCATTTCATGGAACCATTGTCCATGTCTTCTCACAATTTCCTATAGTAGACCCACCAGATATGGAAGGGGTCTGCCTTGATTTCTCTTAGAAATATCATCTTGTCTAAGACTATTTCAAAAGACTCATGATGGAAAATGTTATCCACATCCAGAGAAAGAACTGTGGAGTCTGAATGCAGATTGAATCACACTATTTTCTCTTTTTTGTTTTTTCTTTCTTGTGGTTTTTCCCTTTTGTTCTGATTCTTCTTTCACAACATGACTAATGTGGAAATGTTTAATATGATTGTACACATATAGCCGATATCACATTGCATGCCATCTTGGGGTGAGGGAAGGGAGAGAGAAAAATTTAGAGCTCAAAATCTTATAAAAGTGAATATTGAAAACTATAAATAAATTTAATTAAAAATCATCTTGAAACTATGGTTATCCCATCATCACGCTATGTGACCAGACCAACTTTTCCTCTCATACATTTCTTTGATAAACATCCTTTTATCAATCAATCAATAAGGCCCTCCTTAAGCCTACTGAAAGGCAGACATTTGCTAGACATCACAATGTGAATTCTTTGTTTATAATGTATTGCAGGCTGTTGACCCACAGCAGATGTATATCTTCAGGGCCCTTTGGATGGTTTTCAATTTCAATTCTTCATCTATAGTAGCATACAACTCAGAGCCAGGCAACATACACTTGACCTTAGTCTTGAGAGGCTGATACTATTATTACTACTTTTAATTTACATATACAGATAGTCACTGTTTATAAATTATTTTCCTATTCAACATCTGTAAAATGAGGAAAAGTCCTTCCAGCTCTGAAATTCTCTGATTTTATAGCTCATTTGATGTTCACAACAACCTTGTTCACAATAACCTTCTTAGGTCAGGTAGTATTGTCCCCATTTTATAGAAGGGAAAACTGAGGCACAGAGAGGCTACCACTCATTCCAAGTCATACAGCTAATGATGTCAATCCAGGTCTTCTGACTACTAGGCCAGTGTTTTCTTCTCTGTATCTCTCTGCCTCTAAACTTGAGAGTGAGGAGACCTGGGTTTTCATCCCAGTTTTGCTACTCACTTGTTCTACGATCTTGGGCACATCACTTCCACTGTCTGGGCTTCTGATTTCTCACCTGTAAATGGTGCTGTTTTGGTCATATTCAATTCAATCCAAAAAGCATTTCTTAAATATATTTCTTAATTACATATTACATACAAAGCACTGTGGTTTTTTTTACCCCTTCGAGTTCTAAAATTCTAGCATTCAAAATCTGAGAAGAATATGTACTATCGCACTATTTGGGAGACAGCGAGGTGGCAAATCTAGGAAAGTTTTAATGTAAAGGAGTTAAATGTAGCATAGTCACGGTGACCAGAGTGTCCCTTTTTGCCGCCATGTAAGTATATTTGAGACTCTTTAATAAGAATCAGTGGCCTCCTCATCCTGGCAACACATCTGATTCATTAGTGAGCTCCTCCCCAGTACCTGCATTTGAGGAAATAACCCTTGCTATGTCATACTGACTTCAAGCCCAGCTCAGCATGTGACTCTTCAGACTAACTTGCCCCCCACAAGAATAATTCACCATCCCCAACACTTTTCACCTTCCATTTATGTGCTGTCTTCCTTCCTTAGTGCTCCATGCCCTTGGGTGCAGGGGCTAGCTTCCATTTTCCTTGGATTTGTAGAACTTAGCACAGTGCTAGGCATACAAGTATTAATATATTTGTTTTCTTTTTCTTCTTTTTTTCTTTTGTTTCCTTGCTTCCTTCTTTTCTTCCTTCCTTTCCTTTTTTCTTTTTTTCTTCCTTCCCTTCCTTCCTTTCTTCTTTCTTCCTTCCTTTCCTTCTTTCTTCCTGTCCTTCCTTCTTTTCTTCCTTCCTTCTTCCCTTTCCTTCTTTCTTTTCTTTCTTTCTCCTTCCTTCCTTCCTTTTTTCTTTCTTTCTTCCATTCCTTCTCTTTCTTTCTCTCTTTCCTTCTTTCTTTCTTACCTACCTTCTTTTCTTCTTTCTCTATCTCTAACTCCCTACTTCTCTCCTCCTCCTAGATATATGTGGTGCCATCATCGCCCTAATTTCTAAGAATTGAAAATACTGTATTTTCCTGGCACTGTCCTAGCAGTTGTCATTCTAGCAACTTTTAAAAAATCATCATGATTATTATTTTATCATTTCAGGGCAAGCAAAGTGAGAGAACTAGTGAGCAGCACAGAATGTGATTCTGAAATGATTTTTTTAAAGGGACGCATGCAATGAATTTGGGGGTAGAAGTGTGGGGGGTGTGTGAGTTGGTCAAGATAATGGATGGAGAGAAGAGGGAGGGGTGGATCTGTATTTCTCCTTTTTCTTCACTGTTTTACACTTCTGATAAATAACAAGGAACCAGATTAAAAAACAAACAAACAAGAAGAGAGAAAACAAAGAGAAGCTTTGTAGCACTCAGGATGATGGGCTGTCTCCTTAACTCAGCAGGTGAGTGTTATGGGGAGGCATCCAAGTGTGAAAAACAATAGCATATCACTATCAAAAATGGTTTCAATCAACTACTCCTCTCCTCTCGGTGATCAGCTCTGTAAATAGAGAAGGAAACCGACTGGGAAGTTTGGATTCCCCTGGGCCATGATTTTGGAGAGTTATGCAGAGAAATGCCATGAAGCAGCTGAGAGAGGTAGGAAGTTTTGCTTTTCCTTTAGCAGGACACACTGTCAGTGGCGAGGACCTAAAGCTGAGTTCAGGAAACATCATTCTTCTGATGTACTTGCTAATAAAGTATTTTGCCTTTGAACTTGACCCCTTCTTCTTTGTCAGTTATTTGTGCCCTCAGCTTCCCTTTATTAGATTGCAAGTCATCTGAGGGCAGAGTCTGGATAGATGGGGATCAATTTATTGAATTAAATTTTAAATTGAATGAAGAAGGCAGCCACTAATTAAATAGGAAAAAAAAACCCCACTGGGTGGAGGAAAGGTGGCAAGAGAGGCATTTGCAGTCCTGATATGGGGCTGACCTATTTCTCAAGAGGCAGACATACAACTGCATACATAAATGAACATGGAGCTAAAGGAACCTAGCAAATTGTAGAATTAATCTTCCAGAATAAGCACTGCCGAAAATAACAAGGTACATTGTTAGCAAATGTGTACATGAAGTGAGAAAAGACTATTGTGGAGGGGCTGGGTGTTTCCAGAGATTGTCCAATTGTTGTTTCTGTTGTGAATTTCTCCTTGTTTGTTTTCCCCACAGGTGAGGGGAAAAAGAAAGGGAAAAGGCCTCCAATCTCTTCCACATGGCCTATAATAGCAGAACTCTGAACTCCTCTCTAAGAGCTTGTTCAGACTGAATGGAATGTGTGGTCTGTGTTTATTCGCTTGATAAGTTTTCTAATGGGATGTCTCAGAAATCTGTTTGTAAAAGCTAATATCTTCACTCATTCTCTTTCCTTTCTGCTTCCCCTAGGGCTTAGTCAAGTGAGTATGCAGTAGATATTGCTATAGAGCTCAGGTCTTGAGAGAGAGGGATAGCTGGCTTATGAATATAGATCAGTTTTTCTTAAAGAAAAACTAGTATTTTGAAGGTCGATTCAATTAAATTCCATCCCATTCAACAAAATCTCTTGTGTGTTGAGAACCATACTAGTGGTGTTGGGAGGTGATAAAAAATTTTAGATAAGGCTCAGTTCCTACCACCATAGAACTCATAGTCTAGGGGAAGGATAGGCCACATACAATAATAATTATAATACGTGATAAGAAATCTGAAATAACAAATTACAAATTTAAGAAGTGATTCTTTTTGTGTGATAGTGAAGTGGAAAAAGCATTGAATTTGTAGTAAGAGCTTCTGGATCAGGGGTGGCAAATCTGTAGTCTTGAGGCCACATGTGGCCTTCTAGGTCCTCCGGGTGCAGCCTTTTGACTGGGTCCAAGTTTTACAGAACAAATCCTTTTATGAAAGGGATTTGTTCTGTGAAGTTTGGATTCAGTCAAAAGGTTATACTTGAGGACCTAGATGTTCACATGTGGCCTTGAGGCCATAGGTTCCCCACCCCTGTCTGGATCCTGCTTCTCCTCCCTCTCCTACTTTCCTAGTATGACTTTGTGCAAGTCACTTAATTTTTTCAGACCTCAGTTTCCTTATCTGTTATTTAACTACGAGGTGCCATTGACAGTCACTCATCTGGGTCCACCTAGCAAAAGAACCTGGGTCCTACATTGATGGGGGTGGGGTGTCCCATGAACACTGTGTGGCTTGCCGCCCCGATTGGAAGTGGTGATTACAATGCTCTCTATGGTTGTCAAGTAGTCTGAAATGTTCTGTCTCTGACTCTGACTCTCTCCATGGGACTTAACTTACTTACTGTAAAAGACTATGTGGATTTATAGATTTATCCAATAAGAATTAGCTCAGAGCCCCCAGCCACTGGATAAAACATGCTTCTTTCTTGAACTTGCTATATTACAGGGAACTCTAGTCATATGACCTTGGCATAATGGAATCAACTCTACACAGAAGCAACATGCTTGTAAAAAATGCACATATTTATTCAGGACAGAATTGGTAAGTACTTAAATAGCACATAGTAACTAGAACACTATGCATAACGAAACAATAAAATATATATACATATATACCAACCAGTAGCAAGCTATCACTCTCCTAAACCCTGTCAGCACCTCCACCCCCCACCCACCCCAGGCAATACAAAAGCTGCTTTGACCCAGGGATTTTAGGAAATGCTATTTGAATTTGCCTAGGTCCCTACTGCCACTCCCCTTCTAACCTGCAAAGGAAGATCAATTGAGCTTCCATTTTGGATTAAAAAGGTTGGACCTCTGTAGGAACTCTGGACCTCAAGACTGTGGAACTCAGGATTTAGCGTGAAATGAAACTCAGGAAGGTTGATGTTTCCTGTGGTCTCAGGTATCTGATCACCAGTAGGGAATCTCCGGCTTTGACTGTCCAATCTTGGAGCAGGATGAGTAAAATCAGCAGTCAGTCCTGGCAACTATTGTTAATCCTGGCATCTTCTGACCTCTCCTGTGGCATACCTCTGCTGCAGCTAGGTCTCTTGTCAATCCTTAACCGAATCCTTCCTGCTCTGAGCAACAAGGGTAGGGAAAAGAGAGAGTAAGAGGAGCATTACATGTAACATGATGGAGTTGGAATAGATGACCTTTACCATCTCTCCAACTCTAAATCTCCATACAGAACACACCAGACTGCAGATGCTATGACAGGAAATCTTTGTGCTGTGGCAGATCGCCACTTCTATCAATGCCACACCTACTCTTTGAAATACAGTATAAGTCCCTCAGCTAATGCTAATTCATAGCAACTCCTGTATCCCAAAGCTGTCATAGACTTTGAACTTTGGGAAGCTTAATTAGCTACAAAGCAAAGGAATGAACCTTTAGTTTCTAGAGCTGAAGAGTTTTCAAGGCTGCCCCAGGAAATCCTGTCTATTCATTAATTCTCAGGATGGTGACTTAGAAGCAAATACACATACCTGTCATTCTGGGGAAAGAGGATATGACTCCCAAAATGGGCAGGAGTGGAATTCCTCCATAAAAGAGATCAGACACTGTTCTGCAAATCTCCCCTTACCCCAATCCAGAAGGATGGAGAACAACCAGGGTTGAGAAAAAGCACCAAAAAGCCTTACATGTTGGGTCCTATAGCCAAGACGGCACAGCCATTTCCAGATGTGGCTGCAGGTGTGGGTGTGGGCGGTTCCATTCACAAGATTCCCAGCTGATTTCCAGGCTCATGAATCTCTTTTGTGGCTGTGAAGACTAACAAAAGATTTGACAGCTTTGACTTACTGTCAGGGAGCAACTAAATGCTATGATAGTTTGGGGAAGGGGAAGATCATTTTCAGATGGGGGAGGGGTGGAAGGGGATTGGGGAACTCTTAATGGAGAAGATAGCACTTGAGCTGGACTCTATCTCTCTTTTTTTTCCTCCATATAACAGGTAATAAACTTATGGAACTTATTAATTCTCCTTCTCTGTTTTTCTCCCTGACACCCTCCACTTCCTAGCAGTGGTATAGGCTGAAATGATAAATTGCTTCAAAGACAGTTTAGATAAATTAATGGATGGCAGATTAATATTGAGCTATTAAGAAAAACCAGGAAGTCTGGGAAGATTTCCTTAAACTTTGAGATTGACATCAAGAAGGACAACTGTATTTTCTGCCATGTAATCTTTGGTTCTCCTGTCCTGCGCAGAACACTGACTGAGCGAATCATGGGTCTGACTCTTATGTGCCCAATAGTGTTTAACAAAAAATAATCTGTATACTTTTCTAACAAGGAGCACTGAACAACTTGGTCTACCCAGGGGCTAATTTAAAGGTCAGTAGTTTCCTCACCAATAGACTTCTACATATATACATACACACATATGCAAACAAACACATATACCCTAAATCTTTTCATTGCTCAAATTCAGATTATTTTAGATTATTTATTTCATCTTATAATTTATCACATTCCCTAGGAATCATATTAGTCCCACCTATTACATAAGATCAGAATTTTACAGTATAACTAGATGCTTTTGAGTATATATATTATATAATATATTTGAGTATATATACACATATATATGAGGGCTAGTATATATATAGATATGCATATATGTGTGGATATATGTATGTATGTATATACATACTATGCCTCATTCAGGGCTTCGGAGACATAGAAAACCACTAAATGCAGAGGCAGTTGAGTTACAACCCTAGCTCTGATACTGATTTGCTCTTTGTAATATCATTTTACTTCTTAGCTTCTCAGTCTCCTTATATATAAAATGGGGACCTTAGAATAGAGGTTCATAACCCAGTATCTGTAAACTTCTTTTAAAATATATTTTTAGGGGTAACTAGGTGGCACAGTGGATAGAACACTGGCCCTGAAGTCAGGAGGACCTGAGTTCAAATCTGACCTCAGACCAAACACTTGATATTTACTAGCTGTGTGACCCTGGGCAAGTTACTTAACCCTAATTGCCTATATATATATATATATATATATATATATACACACACACACACATATATATATATACACACACACACATATATATATACATACATACATAAACTGTATTTTACTACAATTGCTTTCCTTTAAAACCTTATGCATCTTCTTTTATTCATTTAATAACTTTATTCTGAAAATGGGTTCACAGCCTTCACCAGACTCCCCAGTGGGATTATGACACAAAAACAGTGAAAAAAACCCTGTGAGGTAACTGTGGTACAGTGGATGGAGGGCCAGCTAGAGTCCAGAATATCTTATTTCAAATCCTGCCTCTGACTGACACTTACTAACTATGTGACCTGGGTCACTTAATTTCTATGTACTTTAGGCATTTCTGTACTTATCCAGCAAGCCACAGACTGATTTGTGAGAGGGAGTTCCCCCAGAAAGAAATCATGGATCTTCCCCATGAAAATGAGAGAAAAGACCATGTCACTTAACAGGGTTGGGGGAGGGACAGAGGATTAAAAATATACCTATTAATTTATCTTTCCTTTCCTCCCTTTTTACATCCTCTGCCTTCTCCATTAGCCATCATTTCTCTCAAAATATTCCCTCAATTCAATTTAATTGAACAAACAATTATTAAGTGCCCCTCTATGGGCTTGGTCCTGTGCTAGGTGCTGAGGATAAAAAGACAAAAATGAAATAACTCATGATTTAGAAGAAGTCTGGTGGGAAACTACCTGAATGGAATATGTATCTACTCTCAGGTCCCTCCTAAATTCCTTGTTTTTAAGATCTGCTATGATACTGAGAGGAAGATTAGAGGCACTTCTCAATTAAAGTGATGATAATCTTACTAAAGTTTGCCCTGGTCAGATACCTTGAGAGTGTTATGCTCTGTTCCAGGAGCCAGACACTGATAAATTAGAGCACGTCCATAGGAGGGTGACTTGGATGGTCATATGAGACCATGCTGTATGAAGATGAGTTGGAGAATTGGAGATGTTTAGCATGGTTAAGACAGAACTTAGCAGGATCAGCAAGCATTTGAAAGGTTGTCATGTAAAAATTAGATTTATTTTGCTTGGCCATAGATAGCCAATCTAGGAGTAATGGCTAGAAGTTGCAACAAGGCAGATTTAGACTTGATGTGCAGAAAAATTTCCTAACCTTTAGCACTATACCAAGGTAGAATGGGAGAAGTAGTGAGTTCTTCCCTCCTGGGAGGTTTTCAATCAAGGGTTAGCTGACAAATCATCGCGTAAGTATATTCTAGAGGATATCCTTTTTTAAGACTCATTTGGATTTGCTGGCAAAGTTCCTTCCAACTCTGAGAGTTACTGTAATTGGGCCTAGCTCTTTCTAGCTGTCCAGCAGAAGATATGAACAACTGGTGAACAATTTTCTGACTCTATAGGCTCCTTTCCAGTAATATAAATCTGGATTTCTCAAACTCCTTTTTTTTTTTTAAACCTGTGGCCTTTGTGATATTTAGGTCTCTTGCAAATCTCTGGAAATGTGTTTAAGAACCTGTTCTTACCTGTAGTCTGTTAGCCTCCTATATCTGTTTTCTTCGTAAGCTCACACAAATTTCCTGAACATTTGAGTAGTAGCCATCATGCAGAAATGCAGAGGTCTGAGCCGGATCTGATTCTCCATGGGTACTGAGGCCTTGACAGCAGTTTCCTAGAAAAATGATGTGCTCCTTATCTATTTGCTAATTCCTTCCACATATCACAAGGCTTTTCTGTAAATTCCCATCAGTCTTGACAAAGTTATCTTGTAGACTTTATGTAGTGATTTTGATGGTTGCACAGAGCTGTTTGTCTTGTTCAGAACTAAATTAATAACACCATGATGGCACCTACTTTAGCACCAAACTTCTTAAACTCTCCTAATATACTAATCAGCATGTCAGTGGAATATTTTTTTTCCGGATAAAGACAAGCTTGGTGAAATGGATTAGACATTCACATGGCATTGCATAATTCAGCATGCCGGCTCAGTGCATACGATTTGCATTAATAGCCTTCACCGAAAGCGGCTGCTTATAGGACTCTCTCATTAGGTCGAATGTGGAAGCTTCCAGACTGTCAATCAATTACAGTAATTTCCTTTTCCATATTTATTCCATCACGATCATTGACAGCTACCATTAAGTGACATTAATACAATACAATATCATCTTGCATTTCTACAGGGCTCTTCATATAGAGCATCTCAGGGTGCCTAACAATTTCTCTCCAGCCAAGAACTCACATCATATAGGAACAGATGCCATTGCTTTTTGGGTCAAAATGAGGCCTTAAAATTGTCTTGGATGCTTTTAGAGTTTCCTAGAATCTTTGGAGATCTTCTTGGCTTCTGTGGGGCATAAGTACTCTCTCTTTGCTCTTTACCCCATTCTAAAGGATCAAAAGTGGTAGTGCCAGGAAGTGGGTTAGCCAGGCAGGCAGCTGGGTGTGGAAGAAACATGTCCACACCCTGGCTTTATCCCCACACTGGAATTAGAATCCGCTTAGTTGGCTAACTTAATGGGAACCCTTTAATGCAGGGAGAACACCCACATTTCTTGGGAGGGCAGGAATTGCCTCATACCACTGTCTAGTAATAATCTCTCTCTCCCCACACCCCCACCCCCACCTCTACCTGAGATTAGCAAAGCAAGCCAGCAAAAGAAAATTGTGCCAAACCTTCCTTTGATAGAAGGATCACTGGTGTAGACCAAGGCATTGTGATTCATACTCACATCCTACTGCTTACCTCCGCTCTGCTTTTCATCCTGAAATCATGGCTTCCTAGCATTATGCCAATCCAACCAGACTTTGGGGCAGGGCTTCTTAACCTTTTCTGTGTTATGAAGCCCTTTGGGTGTCTGGTTTAGCAAATGGACCTCTTCTGAGAATAATGTTTTAAAATGCATTAAATAAAATACATAGGACTAAAAAGGAAATCAATTAAGAATGAAGGAAGGAAGGAAACAGGCATTTTTAAAGTAGGCACTGTGCTAAGCACTTACAGATATTGTCTCATTTGGTCTTCACAATAACCCTGGGAGTTAAATGCTGTTAGTATCTCCATTTTATAGATGAAGAAATAGAGGTAAACAGAGGTTAAATGACTTGCAAAGGGTCACACAGTAAAGGTCTGAGGCTGTATTTGAACTCAGGTCTTCCTGACTCCAGGCCTGGCATTCTATCTGCTGTGCTACCTAACTGTCTTGATTATATTGAAATATAGTTATCACAATTAAAAAAAAACAAATTAAAATCACAGACTCCAGATTAAAAACACCTGTTTTACCATGCCCAAGAGGCTATAATAACACTGTGCACACCCTTTGACCCAGGAATACTGCCACTAGGTCTGTATCCCAAAGAGATTAAAGGAAAAAGAAAAGGACCCATTGTATGAAAATATTTATAGCAGCTATTTCTGTGGTGGCAAAGAATTGGAAATTGAGCAGATATCCATTAACTGAGGAATGGCTGAACAAGTTGTGGTATATGATTTTGATGGAACACTATGGAGCAATAAGAAATGATGAGCAGGACGCTTTCAGAAAAACCTGGGAAGACGTATATGAACTGATACCAAGTAAAGTGAACAAAATGAGGAGAACATTGTACACAGTAACAGCAATATTGTACTATAATCAATTGTGAATGACTTAGCTATTCTCAGCAATACAAAGATCTAAGACAATTCTGAAGGACTTATAATGAAAAATACTATCCCCCTCCAGAGAAAGAACTGATGGAATCCGAATGCAGATTGAAGCAAACTTTTTAAACTTTCTTTATTTTTCTTGCTGGTCTTTATTTTTTGTTGTGTTTTCTTTTGCAACATGGCTAATATAGAAATACTTTGCATGACTTCACATGTATAATTGATATAAAATTGCTTGTCTTTTCAAGGAGGCAGGGCTGAGGGAGGGAATTATGAACTCAAGATTTTACAAAAAGAATGCTAAAATTTTTTAGATGTAGTTGAGAAATATTTAATGAAATATATTGGCAAAAAAGAATATCTTGTTCTGGTGAAAAATATTCTGTATGTAAGAATTTATTTTTTACCTTTATTACCTAACAAATCTAGATTCTAATCCATCTCCAACAAGGGGAAATGGAATGCAATCTCAGAAAGAGGGATGAAGCAAGGACAAATAGTACCAATATGGTAGGTAACAATGGAAAGAGTGTGAGATTTGGTGTCATAAAATCTTTGGGTGGCTTACTTACTGCCTTGTTTAAATTTTTTAAACTCTGTGCCCTAGTTTCCCATTGGTAAAATAAAGGGATTGGTCTAAATGACCCTGAGGCTTTCTACAGCTCTAAATCTATGGCTCTATGAACCATTGTGACAGCTGATATAAGTGTGGTCTTTATTGTGTACATTTTGTCTTGTTACAGAGATGACCCCAACACAGTGCTGTGGCAATTCAGTGTCACCTACAGAATGATCCATAGGGTGATAGAGGCATAGATTTTTGAGTTCAAGAACCAATTAAATAGTTAAGGCAGCCTAGCCATTGAGGTCAGCTAAGAAATAAAAGCATAGCCAAATTGTTGAGTTGCTACTATGAATAAAGCACTGTGTTCAAATTTTGAGACAGGGTCTGAATACAGCACAAGGTAAGAATGTCCAAAGGCCAGAGAAAAATAATAGTACCATTGTGAAAAATTATGCTTGAGAAGGAAGGAAAACTGAGTTGTTTGTTTATCTTTACCATTTGGTATTACGAGACTTCACTACTGTGATTTCATCCATGTGGTAATTCCCTCCATCTATACAGATTGTGGCTCTTCCTTACTGGATAGTTTCACCAGGTGCTATGATGAAAAAAAAAAAGAAGTTAATCAGTGGTGGTTAACCTCCTGTCAATGAGCCTCTCTATATCTATTTAGACAGGGAAGGTAGGTTGCATAATGGATAGAGTACGGGGCCTGCAGTTTTGGTCACCTATTTAACCCTTCCACTGCAGCCAGACTTGTCTATTCAACAAATTCAATTCAACAGTTATTTCTTAAGTACCTAATATGCCCAAAGCACAGTATTCCTTAAGTATTGAGGATACAACAACAGAAAAGTATAAATTTGTTAAGTCAGGATGGCACAATGGATAGAGGGCTGGGCTTGGAGTCAGGCAGAGCTTGCCTCAAATCTTGCCTTTGTCATTTACTTGCTGTGTGGTGCTAGACACACACTTAATCTCTGCCTGCCTCAGTTTCTTCATCTGTAAAATGGGATTAATAGTAGCATCTACCTGGTAGGACGGGGATGAGGATCAAATGAGATAACATACATAAAACACTTGTAAACCTTAAAGGCCCACGTAAATATTAGTTGTTGTTGTTGTTAATAAATCTAATATATTAGTATGAATGAGATAATAGAATTCTTTTATCTTGACAGGAGAAGAACTTGAGTGGTTCATGGTGTTAGGGTAAGGCAAAGAAAAGAAGGTAGAGTAGGAAATGGCTAAAAAAAAAATTCAGAAAGAGGATTCTGGGAAGATGGAGGAGTAGGTCAGAAAACTTTCAGTTTTCCAAATTTCCTGCACAGAAAAAGACATAACATTGCCTCAGAGGGAATGTAGCGCAGTAGAAATAAACAAAAGTCAAGGTAAATCAGGACCCCAGGAAAAACCTCACCTGCAGGGGCAGAGGTCCAGGACAACTCTGCCTAATCAATAAACAAGCCCTGGGGGCAGTTGAGGTGGGTGAGGTAACTTCAGCCCTAGAAACTTTCATCTCCTGGACAGTGTTGGGGTCTGACAGCTGAGTAGGGAGAAGATTGAAGCCCCTTCCACTTTCTAGGGATGTCAAGCACTGCTATGCTGTTCAGACGAGTCCTGGGCTGGGCTGCCCATGCAGGGGAGAAGGAGCTAGCACACACCTGGGAAGTGCAGGAGCAGAGGGACAGGGACCCTGCTGGCTGTGGGCATTTGCAGGAGAGCAGAATCACAAGTTTTAGTTCCAGGGGAGAGAGGACAGCTGTAGTTTGATCATTTGTGGGACAGCATGATTTGGGGCTCTAGACATGGCTTAAGAGTGGAGAGGAGAGCCCAAGGTTGAGCTCTGGGACAGACCTCAGAAAATAACAGGACCTGAGGCTTGGGACATTACTCCCCATACCTTGGGACTAGAACTTGATCATACTAATAGCTGTAAAAAAACAAAATAAATCAATAAATAAAATAAAAGTGAGTAAGCAAAGGAGAAAGCAACCAACCATAGATGGCTACTATGGGGATAGACAAGATCTGAGTTCATATTCAGTGGAAGATAATGGAGCTAAAAAAGCCACTCCTTTTTCAATGAGAAATGTCAAATGGTCCCAAACACAAAAAGATTTCTTAGAAGAACTTAAAAAAGGATTTTATAAATCAAATAGGAGAGATTGAGGAAAAATTAGAAAAAAATAAGAGCAATCCAAGGAAATCAAGAAAATTATGAAAATAAAGTCAGCCAACTTGAAACAGAGAACAAGAAACTTAAAGAAAATAATTCCTTGAAAACTAGAATTGGGCAAAGGGAAGCTAATGGCATTCTAAGACACAAAGAAATAATAAAACAAAATCAAAAGAATGAAAAAATAAGAGTGTGAAACATCTCATCAGAAAAACAACTGATCTAAAGTACAGATCACGGAGAAATAATATATGAATAGTTGGACTTCCTGAAAATTGATGGAAAAAGAATCTTGGTACAATATTACAAGAAATTATCAAGGAAAATTGCCCTGAAGTTCTAGAACAAGAAGGCAAAGGAGAAATAGAAAAAAAATCCATGATCACCACCTGAAAGAGATCCCAGGAGGAAAACTTACAGGAATATCACAGCCAAGTTTCAAAGCTCCCAGGTAAAGGAGAAAAAATTGGAAGCAACAAGAAAATAAATTTTAAATATCATGGAGCTACAATAAGGATTACATAAGACTTAGCAGCTACTGGATTGAAGAACCCTAGATCTTGGAATACTGTATTTTGTAGAACAAAAGAGCTGAGGTTATGACCAAAGGTAACTTACCCAGAAAAGTTAAGTATAATTCAGAATGAAAAAAAAAAAGGACATTTAGCAAACTGAAAGACTTTCAGGTATATGTGACAAAAACAGCAGAACTTAAGGGAAAATTTGATATAATAATATCCAGGAGAAATATAAACATTAAGGACCAATTATAAGGGATTCAATAAGGACAAATCATTTACTTTTTTATATATGAAAATATTATCAGTTCTTTTATGACTGTCATTTTTACTTGGATAGTTTGAAAGAAAGGCTTGACTTAAGCTGAATATGATAGGGTGATTTAAAAAAAATAAGAGAGAGATAAAAAGGATCATTTATCTCATACAAATGAGGCAAAAAAGGAAAACTGTTACAGAAGAAGTTAGTAGGAGGAGGGTGGCTAATGCTGAAACCTTAATCTCATTGGGAATGGGTTAAAGAGGGAAGAACATATATCTCCAGAAAGTTATAAAAGTCTTCTGTAATCAGAAAGAAATAAGAGGGCAAGGGGATAGGGTAGGGGGAAAGGATAAGGGAGGGATTCTTAGAGGGGTGGGTAGGTTAAGGAATAGGAAGGCAAGGCAATAGGTAGAAGTAAAGCAGAGGAGTGAAGAGAGATAGGAGTAGGGTAAGAAGGATAGGGAGGAAAAATAGGAAGGAGGAAAATATATGGCAAATAACTATAGCTTAGAATGTGAATGGAATGAATTTATCCATAAAATGGAAACTGATGGCAGAATAAAATTTGAATTCAACAATATGTTGCTCTCAGGATATCCTATAAAAATGAGAGATATGCACACATAAATTAAAGATCAGGAGTAAAATTTATTATATTAAAAAAAGGTAGTAACCATGATTTCAGACAAAGTTAAAACTAAAATAGACTTAATCAAAAGAGAAAAAGAGGGAAACTACACTGTGTCAGCCATATTATTCAATATTGTTTTAGACCATTTAAAATAACTAGACAGTATAAAATACCTGAGAGCATACCTGTCAAAACAGATGCAGAAACTACACAGATATAAACATAATACACCTTTTATACAAATAAAGTAAGATCTAAATAATTGAAGTAATATTTATTGTTCATGGGTAGGTAAAGCCAATATAATTTTAAAAATGACAATTTTACCTAACTAATCTATTTACGTAATGCCATTCCAATGAAATTACTAAGAAGTATCTTACTGAATTAGAAAAAATAATAACAAAGTTCATTTAGAAGAACAAAAGGTCAGGAACTTCAAAGAAACCAGGAGAAAAAAATGATGTGAAGGAAGAAGATTCAGTAGTATCAGACCTTAAACCATATTATAAGGGGAGAGTATTGTTGAAGTATAAAATGGATAATTTTGATTATTTTAAGTTAAAATTTTCTTGTATACATAAAACTTATGTAGCCAAGAATAGAAGGAATGCAAAAAATTGGGGAAAAACTTTTATAGACAATCTCTCAGATAGAATGTGATTAGGTTGGAATGTTGCTGTGGTGCAGGAAATGAAATGCTGGTTGATTTAGAAAAAACATGGAAAGACTTGGACTTATGAAAGAAGACACTATCCACCTTCAGAGAAACAGATGACAAGTGGAAATAAGCATAGTACGGTCTTACATATATGTGAAGGAGTGTATAAGTGTATATATGTGTATGTTTATGCATATATATATATGTGAATGTGTGTGTGTGTATGTTTCTGTGTGTGTGTATCCACACTTAATTGTAGCTTTCTTTGTGGAGGGAGGGAGAAGGAGGGGAAAAAAAAGTAAAAATCGCACAGCAGAGAACAACAAAAAACAAAAAGCCTACAAGGAAGCAAAGAAAAGCTGGACAGCTTTGAAAACAATATGTAGTATTTATTATATAGGTTTTCTTGAAATGGAAATTTACTGCTTTATATTGAATCCTCTCTTTTGTTCGGCTGTGTATATGGCATTTTTTTTCTTATTTTGTACCTAAGTTTAAAATAAATTTTAAAACTTTAAAAAAAAAAAAGAAAGAAAAAGAACATTGGGTAAATACATTCATCTTTCCCACAATTTGGTCTTAGGTCATGTCCGTCTCTGAGTCTCTGACAGAATCACAGAATTATGTTGGAAGAGACCTCCTCAGAGTTTAGAGAGTTTAACTTTTAATAGATTTTCTCTACAATATCCCTGAAAAGTGGTCATCCAGTTTCTGCTTGCAGACCTCCAGTGAAGGGCACCCTCCTCCCTTCCAAGGCAGCCCTTGGATTGGATAACTGTAATTACTAGGAAATGTTTGGCCTCTCTGCTATTCCCTTCACTTTCCCTGTCCTCCTCACCCCCCCCCAACCCCCCCCTGCCCCCAATCCCTTGCTCCTGGCTCTAACAAAACAAATCTAACCCTTCTTCCGCATAACTGCCCTTCAGATACTAGAAGATGGTTATCAAGTATCTCTCCTTTCTCTGTCTTCTTTTTTCCCCAGGCTATTTTCAATCCCTTTAAACAGTCCTTGAATGCAATCTCCAGGCCCCTCACCATCCTGATATACCCTTTCTAGATGCCCTAAAGCTTGCTCATGTCTTTTCTAAATGTGCTTCTCAAAAGCAAATATGAGCTTTGAGTTATGATTTGGCCACAACAAAGTGTTTCTACCTTTCTTCTTCTGGATACTATTATTTTCTTAATGTAACCTAAGATCCCATTAGCTTTTGAGGCTGCCAGCACAGTTCTTTGCACCAAATTACACAAAGCAGGTGAGGTATGAATGTTTATTAAATTGAATTGTGTTTGTTTAAGCCTCCAGATATTTTTCATACAACTGTTAGTTAGCCATGCCTCTTTATCCTG